AAAAAAGTAAATTATTAAATAATATAATATTTAACTTTAATTATTTTAAATAATGTGATGCAAATCACGTCATTAGTCTCATATTTTGGTCTCAAATTTGTTCATTTATCATTATTCAATCACCACCATGGAAACATATGTGTTGCGTGACAATCTAATTGATCTATGAATCACCCACCTTGGAAGTCTCTGCCGGTGAAGGAAAGTAGTTCTTTCTTATTGCTCTGTGTCTCCATCTCAGGCTCTTTCTTTGCTGCCAATGGTCTTACCTCCTTATTTCCCATTCCTTCTCTGCTACCAACTCCACCTAATCCACCCAAACATGTTCGTGTAGTTGCAAAGAACTCCAAGATCATCCTTCGACCAAATCTTCTCTTCGATTAACTTGCAAAGCACTGAGGTTAGTTTTCGGGGTAGATACTCCAATACCTAAATAAGCAATAATCAAGTCTACTAGAAATAAGACAAGAGGAAGGTTTGAGATTAGTTTTAATTACCTTTTGGAAAGCACCCATAGAGAGTATTTATAGGCTTCAAAGGGATGTCCACACATTCTTTCATGTGGAAAACCAAGATCATATGTGTTAATCATCGTAGAAATATCTCATATAAAATTTGAATATATACGGAGTTATTGTAAAGCCAGTATAGAAGGGACGAGCTTAACCTCATCTGAGCTCATCCTACCTGTGTGAACCTCGAGGTCATGCGTCCACAATGTTTTGCTCGTTCGAGGTAGATGACCTCAGACTATCTAGTTCGAGGTAAATGACCTCGAACTATCATCACAGTTTGCTCCCCCAATTTTTTTCTTACTCTTGAATTTCCTTCAAAATTCCTTAAATTTCCTAAAAGATGGGCAAAAACCAAACCTACAAAGCTATGCAAGGGATCTATTTGGGTGTAGTTTTTGGGTTTCAAGATGAACCCAGGTGTAGGATTCCATAACAAACTAGACCTGACAATTTGTTACCCAACTCGCTAACCCACCCATTTAAAACGGGTTAAGGTCATATATTTATAACCCGCGACCCGTTAATGATCCATTAAGAGAACCCAACGGATCATGGGTCAATAACGGGTTGACCTACCGGGTTAATGGGTTTGACTCGTTTACCCTCTAAAAATTTAAAAAATTTTAATTTATTATTTATTTATTTTGTTTTTCAATTCCCAATCCCACTTAAACTTTTAATAATTGACTAATTTTCTCTAATTTGCTAATTGATTCTCTTAACTCATCATCTTCTAAAAGTAAAAATAATCCCACTCCACTTATGACTCACCTCTTGACCTTTTCTATTCTTGCTTGCCCTAATACTCTCTAAGACTCTAACTCTTCAAAGTTCAAACTCTTCTCATGTTCTTCAACCTCCATAGTCCATACAGCTTTCAACTTTCAAGTTTCGACTCCACCTTTTCTCTTTAGTCTTTAACATTATCTTAGACTTAGATCTTAGTCTCACCAAGTCACCATCGCGTCCACTTAGCCCTTTCTTTCTTTCTTTCTCCTTCAAGTTTGACAAGTGCTCTCTTTGTCACCGACTTTTCTCTCTAAAGCCTTCAAGATAAGTTGTTTACTTATTTATGCTTTTTAGTTTTCTCTCCATTCCAAGTAAAAATTCTACTTGATCTTGTCCTTTGCTTAGATGCATTCAATTGATTGATTCTTTGAAAGCAACGACCAGAACAAATATGTTCCAATGAGATTTCTGTTTTTTGGTTGTTATGCTACTATTGTTTTTTTTTTTTTCTATTAAGATTTATAAGTGTGTGGTGTTCTTGAATTTGATTAACGTTGTTCTTTGAAGGGAAGTGG